TCCTGGTTTCGGCTCAGGTCATGATCTCCAGGTTGTGGGATCGAGCCCCGTGTCAGGCTCCGTGCTCAGTGGGTAGTCTGCTTGAGGATTCTCTCCCTCTGCCCCCACCCCCATGCACTCTTTCTCTCTCTCTCTCTCTCTCAAATGAATAAAATCTTAAAAAAAATAATAAACAGGGAGAGGGAGAAGGAAGGACTCTTACAGGTTGAAATAATCCCAAAGTAGATAAACCCTGGCTACAGTGCTGGTAGAGGTCATCACGTTGAGGGGCCAATAACCTCTGAGGTAGGCACACCCTTCTCCCCAGCAATGGCCAGTTTGCACTTAAAATGCAGCGGTGGTAATGGTGAGCACAACAGTGGAAATGTTTTTACAGAATCACTTAGAAGTCCACCGCCCCATGCAACCATCTCCATACTTTTATGTTCCATTTTGGCCTTCAACCACATGCTTACAAATTGTTCCGTAATTGCAAACCATGATGTTCAGATTTCATACTTAATGCATATTCCTTTTCCTCTGTTGGTTTATTTTCTGGAGGCAAGTTCTTAGTCATGACTTTATTGGATTAAGGGTATGACTTTTTTTTTTTTGTTTTTTTTTTTTTGTTTTGAGTATCTGTAACCATATTGCTTACCCAAGGGTAGTCACAGTTGACTCTGCTGCCAGCAATGAGGTATGAACTTGCCACCCTCACCATGGGCTTGCGGGCAGTAGTGCGGGTGATTTTGTTAGCTTGCGGGCAGTAGTGCGGGTGATTTTGTTAAACAGTGTAACGTGAAATAGTATCTCTGGATTGTCTTTAGGTTTCCCGTCCAGTGATGTTGGACATTTTGCCATCTGTTAGTTATATTGTCCTTCCATTTCATGTAATGTCCATATCCCTTGTCCTTGCAACACTGGAGTCTTTTAAGTATGGATTTTTATGTATTGTAGATTTTTACCCTTTGTCATAACTGCGGCAGCTGCTGAAAACATCATTTGTATTTCTTTTTATGTTAATGTTACTTTTAATTATATGGGAATTTGAAAACTGTTTATCTGTTTCATATTGATATTTTTATACTTTGTGTTCTTTCCTGTTGCGTCAAAGAAGGGGATGTCCTGAAATGCTCTGTTGTGCTGTGTGTGTGTGCTTGCAACCTTAAATATTTAGATTTATTTTGGCTTATTAGTTAGCTCTCAGACTGCTAGCCAGCTCTCTCAACACTATGACATGATTCTAACCTTCCCCCTTGTTTTGAGAAGTTGCTGTTTTGACAAACAACATGTCTATTTGCCATGTAAATGCTTTCTTCTGTTTTAATAAGTTCTGGAACTGAGACAGTTTCAGGACTTAGAATTAAATTTTTCTGATTGTTTTCTATGTATTTCCACAGAATACGAAAGCTACAGAATAACTTTTGGAGATCCTTCTCTGTTGCAATGTTAATTAGTATTTGTGAAAAGTTTAGCCATCTTTTAGGATATTTTGTTATTTTGTTAAAATAAGATTCTTTGTGTATATTTTAAAGTAGATGGTCTTGATTGGTTTTTTTTGTTTGCTTTTTTAAAGATTTTATTTTTAAGTAATTTCTACACCCAACATGGGGCTCAAACCTACAGCCCTGCGATCAAAAGTTGCCTGCTCTATCTACTGAGCCAGCAGGTGCCCCTAAATGGCCTTGGTTTTCGTTGAATTCCTTAGTTGGTGGAGAGCTAAGTTCTGCCTTCCTCTGATGTGACTGGGTTGAGCAAATAAGGTGAGCTCTCAGGGAGCACAGTCACTTCGGAGTTGTTTCGGCTGAATGTTGAGGCAGATCTGGGTTCTAGTCAGCACCGGTGTGTTTGTCCACTTCTTGGAGTTCTTTGTTGGTGTGGGTGCCTCTCAGGTTGGCGGCTCAGGTGTACTCATCAGTCCTTTTTCCTTCACTGAGGCAGTGAGGCCGCTGAGCCAGACCTTGGGAGCTCAGCGCTGGCTTTGTTCGCCTCCAAATGGGCCCCCCCCCCCCCTCCCGAGGACCTTGTGTTGGAGGGTGTGGCTTAGGCTGTGGCTTAGGTCCAAACAAACCTTCCCCTTACCTCCTTACCTCATTACCTCCTCTAGTTTATACCCTGGGTTGTGCCCCTGTGGAGACAGGCTCTCTCGGTGACATTGAAGTTCAGGATGTGCTTCTCCCGCCTCTGGCCAGCAGGATAGAGAGCCGTGCGAGGGTGAGAGGCAGCTTTTCCTCCCTGCTCCTCAGGTCCACGGGAAGGGGCGGGCGGGGAAGTGGGCTAGCTCTCCCCACCCCGTGGTAAGTTGAGTGCCTTATCTTCCCATGGGCAGGAATAAACAAGTGGGTGAAGAAAGACTAAACTGTTTTCCCTCAATAGTTTCCTCATATGTGAATGGGATGCGGAAATGGTGTCATTGGGACATCGCCACCCCTAGGCCGCAGAGTTCAACAGAAATGGTGTGATGCCCCATGTGAGTGCTTTGGGTTGTGCATGGCAGGTGTATAGGGGACACGTCTGAGTGTGGTACACTGTGTTGTGGATGCTTAGGGTGTTTCTGGTCCTTCCTTGGTGTGGACCTGGCTAGTGTCGTTCCAAATGTCTGAGTTTCCAGGAAGTAAGGGCTGGGAGCATATGTCTTGGTTGTTGAGATTCTCTGGGTCTGGGTTTGGACCCTGATGTCTGTGAAAGCAGTTTTACCTGGGTGGTTGTGTGTCTTTGTGGGGTGAGGTCTTCGGGGCCACATGAAAGAGGGTGAAACCTAAGGTGCGGGAGACCAGGTGCCCTGCGGAGAACTACCCCCTCCAGAGCCTGCGTGCCCATGGAGTTTCCTGTGGCCTTTCTGTGTTCTCCATGGTTAACCAGTCAGAGCTGAAGAACAGCGATCTCCAGGTTGAGAGTCCCCACATCACCTCAGGGTAATCATTTCCCAAAGGCCCCAAGCAGGGGGCAGGGATGAGGTACTCTGGAAAACAGAAAGACGTGCTAATTAGCTGGTTTCTCTGTGGAGGAAGAAGGGAGTCTGGCTTTGTTTACTGCTTCAAAGCTTTTGAGGGAGAGCTTTACCATGGTTAGGTTAAATGATGCCCAAGGAGTACTCTCTAGGACTCCTGAACTTTGGGGTACTGTGCCTGAGCAGCCTTCCCCAGTTGCTGGGGTCCAGTTCCACGGAGGGTACGGCCATCCACCTTCCAGGCTTCTCTAGGAACCATGAAGAAGAGAAGGCTGTATTTGACAATTCTAAGAAGCAGGGTTGTCTCGTCCATAAAAAGGAATAGGGTTTCTACCATTTAGAATACTGTCCTGCCTTCTAGGGCATTTCTGGCCAAGTTGACTGTTCTCTGTGATAAACTTGCCTGAGCTTTAGGTTAAAAAAAGTTTATCTTTCTATATGCATGAAGCCAGTCATCTGTAGTTGGAGAAAACCCCAGTGCCTTGGGGTTTTTGTCATGTGTGCAACACAAATGGGTGAATGTTGGTTCCCTTTAGTTAGTTGCCTACCACGAGCCATCCCGACCCTAGCCCTGGTCTGCGTGCTGGGCTGCAGGTAATAACAGGGTCCTTCTGCCTTTTCAGGAACCCCAGAGGGACTGCAGCCCTTGGTGCCCAGGCTGATACCTGGTACGTTAGGCATGTCAGAATCACCGGGGAGTTTGTCACAAATGCAGGTTCTGGGCCTCACCCCACACCTACTTCTCAGAACCTGCAGCGGGGAGAGGCCTGAGGTCTGTATTTGTAATGAGTCGTTTGATGCTGCCAGCTGGGTCGCTCAGCTCCAGGGATGCTAGGGATCAGTTTTAGTTGAGGATGCTGAGGCCTGAAGGAAGGAGCTCGGCTCTCTGCAGCCAGCCGGTGTGGCCCAGGCTGTGTTCAGGCCTCCTGTGTGCCCTGTGCCCAGGGGTGTCCCTCGGTACCCAGGATTGCAGTCATACTCCCTCCTTGGAGGGGACTTCTGTGGAAGTGCTGTGCTGAGGGTGGGGCTGGGGGCTGCTGGGTCGCAGTCCCTTTCCTGGCTGGTTTTTGAGGCCAGACGGGCCAGACTCTCGCATCCCTGTCAGAGGGAGGAGGTGAGCAAATGGAGGCGTCCAGACTGCTGTGCCGGTTGATGCTGCCCTGTGACCAGGAGGTAGAGTGGGCACAGCACCCATTTCCGGAGTGATGTGGTTTGCATGTCCCTGCTTGGCATCACTTCTCAGAACATTACAAGCCCGTGGCCAGGCCACTGAGGCCGCTCCCAGGAAGGGATTTTGCAGCAGCTACTCCTTGCGGCAGCAGCTGGTTTCTTCCTGGCAGTTGTGGGCAGGTTGTCTCCTCACTGCCTGAGTGGCCTTGTCTGTTTTGCTTCGGGCCCTGTTACGATTTGCCCTTATCCTTGGCCCCAGGAGGTGGGAGGGGAACAGGGGGCTGAGGGCGAGCATTCCCCTGTGAGCCCTAGGTCCTGCCCGGCCCCCCATTAAGGCCCCCACCTCCTTCCCCACCACTGAGCCACGGCTTTGGCAGCAAGGGGTGGTGGAGGAGTTAAGGGCCCACCTGGATTGCTTTCGGGTTCCAAAAGGAAAGTAATGGGGACACCTGGTGGCTCGGTCGGTTGAGCATCTGCCTTGGGCTCAGGTCATGATCCCAGGGTCCTGGCATCGAGCCCCACGTCGGGCTCCCTGCTCCGTGGGGGAGTCTGCTTCTCCCTCTGCCTCTGCCCCTCCCCCTGCTCATTCTTTCTCTCTCTCTCACAAATAAATGAATGAAATGTTTTAAAAAATAAATAAAAATTGGCATCCTCCATTCTTTCAAAAATTCTCCTCTTTTTTTGGCTCTTTTTGGAGAGTTGACTTAACACGGTTTTCGCGCAGTCTGTAGCTGGCACTGATAATCAAGCAATACCTGGACTTGTGCAGGAACACGGAAGCGATTTGGAGACTTCTGGAGTCTGTGTACGAGCCTCACCTTTGCTCTTTCTGGGGGAGCAGGGTTGGGGGGTGTTTTGCAGCTGAACTGTCGTCTCATCACACTCCCGTGTCTGTCCGCAGATCCCGCTTCTCAGAAGATGCACTATTATAGATACTCTAACGCGGAGGTCAGCTGCTGGTACAAGTACCTCCTTTTCAGCTACAACATTGTCTTCTGGGTGAGTCACCAAGAGCAGCCCCGGGTCCCTCGCCTCGTCCTTTACTCAGTAGATCATGATGGTCCCCGTACTGCTGATTGGCCAGGGCCCCCACGCGGCTTAGGAGGAGAAGGTGGGCGGGGCTGAGAGCCCAGCTCGGGCAGAACCGGCAACAAGTTAATTACAAAACAGGCTGTTAACAGTACTGTGACAGGGATGGCCAGGGTGATCGAAAACCAGGCTAATGGGCCCCTACGCCAGCCTTGGAGGTTCAGGAACGCTCGGAGCTCTGGCCCACATGCAGGTCTGTTTTCCCCCTTCCCTGCCCTGGGGATGCGACCGAGACATCGGCAGCGGGGCACCTTGCGCCCTCTTGACTGTGGGCCAGGCCCTGGTCTGCGCTCTGGGAGGTAGGAGTGGACAAGGGTGGTAGAGCCCTGTTCCCTTGGTGTTTGTGTTTAACCTGTAGTGGCATTAGCCTCCTGAGCAGCAGAGCAGGGAGGGGGAAGCTCCTTGGCTAGGGAGGTTGGGGAAAGGCATTCCAAGGAGTCGACTTAAGGGCTGAGACCAGAGTACTCGTGAAGAAGCAGCCAGTGGGGGGTCTGGGAGGAAAGCTGCAGGCTGGAAGAGCAGCATTTGCAAAGGCCCTGAGGTAGGAATGCACTTGGCATGTGCAAGGGACAATGAGAAGCATGTAGCTGGAGCTCAGTGAGTACAGGGGGAAGGGACACAAGCGAGGGCAGAGAAATGAAGGAACCAGGTCATGTAGGACCTTGCAATGCTCAGTAAGTAGGTGGAATTATTTTCTGCCTCTTTTAGTAACTGTTGGCAGGTTACAAGTTGGATCTGATTTTGGAATGATTCTGCCGAGGGAAGGGATGGGTGGTGGTACCATGTTCTGAGAGAGAATTTTGGGACAGACGTGTTCAAATGGTCTCTTGGCCACATGGAGGTTTCCGTTTCCTATGTCTGTGACCATCTTGGAGATGAAAGGGGGCACGGCTCGATGCGATCATGGAGGGTGTGTGAGAAGAGGAGAGGTGTGACTGTGGAGTCTTGGGATACTAGAGGTGACCTTACAGAGCAAAGTCCATTCCAGAGTTGGCTGTGAGTGGGTGGGCTGAGGGGAGGCTAGGAGACTCTGAGGCCTTCCGCGTAGAGAGGACAGTCAGCTGTGCCACAGGGGGGGTGACATAGGATGAAGACAGAAAATGGGCATTGGCTTTGACGAGGTGGAGGTTGTTGGTGACCCTGACCAGAGCTGCTGTGTGCTCTGGGGGCGGATGGAAACCCACCTGGGGCTGGCTGAGGAGCCAGCGGGATGTGAGGCAGTGGAGACCGTGACTCAGCGCGGTTCTTTCAAGGACTCTCGCCTTGAAGAAGACCAGGAAACTCAGGCACTGGCTGGAGACGGTCAGGGTGTCAGGGGAGGTAGCATGGCACGTGTGTGAAACCAGTGGGCTGGTTCAGGGGAGAAGCAGACACGGTGTCCGTGCAGGTGGCTGAGGGGATGTGGTCGCACATCTTCAGCAAGCGTTCCTTGTCAGCTTCTGTGTGGGGGACACTTGGAGAAGGAGGGACAGAATGATCGGCCATCATGCCACATTTTTGCTTCTACTGTGGGTGTCGGCATGCCCTGTTTGGACCTTGTTTGCCTTGCAAACAAGGAGATTTGCTAAGACATCTCAGCTTTTACCCTTGATTTTATAGCATCATCTCCCAGTGATTTATCTCAAAGTTTTGGGGGGGTTTCTGTCCTGGAGAAACAGGGTGGGATTCAGTGGGTTGGTCATTCACCCCACGTCTTTTTTCTGTGCCTGGACAACCTGTCCCCAGCAACTTCATCATTTCCCTTAAAATAAGACAGCACAGGACATCGTTCCTGTGGGCTTCTCCTAACGGGAGGCGTGTGGCTGCCTCATCCCCGCAGCGTATGGCTTCCCAGACCGGCCCTGCCCCCTCCCTGGCCCCACCTGGAGGCCCCGCCCACCGGCCAGGTGTCTGGTGGAGGGCCCCTTGGCCTAGGCAGGCAGTCTGACACTTGGGACACTCGGACACCTAGCTGACGTGTTGTTCTCTCCCACCCCCAGGCTGTGCTTGCTTGGTCTTGTGCCCTGTCCTCCGAAAGTCATCCTGAATTTTGCAGCAAGAGCAAAACTTCCCGCTGCTGTGGCTGAGGGCCCACTAATCTCCATTTCTTCACGTTCTCTTCAGAACAGATTCTTTGCTCTTGGGAAGCTCTTTTCCAACTTTCCCAGTAATAACAGCTCGGCAGCCCCAGATTCGAATAGCGGAGCTCCTGATTCCAGAATCGTAGCAAGTCTCCTTGATTGAAGGGTGCTGCCGTGTCATCGGCCTTCTGCAGGATTGACAAGTCTGTGTGGTCGAGAGTGTTTCTCAGTTGGTGTGCCCTGGGGCCCAACAGGAAGGGACAAAAAGCAGTCAGGACACCGAGGCACAAGAGAGCTTGGTTGGGGAAATGACCCAGGCGCCTCCCTGCCAGGTGTCTAGCAGTGATTGCTCTCTTCATCTGCCCAGGAGCTCAGGGGTGGGGTGAGGCCTGAGAAGCAGGGGGTAACCACCCGGGTGCCAGGCTGGACTCTCACCCACACCGAGTGATCCCGAGGAGTCTTCGTGTTTTCATTGTGAAATGTTGATGTCACAGGCCTGCCGCCTGCCTCCCAGGGTCGCTGGAAACAGATAACAGTCGTATGCCAAGCCTTACCTCGTCAGAGAAGTTTTCTCTTTGAAATGGAAGAAATAACCAAAATCAAACGATCTAACAACCCCCCATGTTCCCATCACCTCTCTTCAACATTTATCAGCTCATAGCCGATTCTAATTTATATACCCCCCCACCCCGCACACCCCCCTCCGCCCGTTATTTTGAAGCAAAGCATAGATAATTGTTTTGCATAGAGAGTTTTTGTATTTGTTTTGTTTTGGCAAATGAACAAAGGGACAGGATTGCAGCTTTGCTGGCAGACCTGGGCTCAGCAAGCAGGTTCAGATACACAGAAGGCAACCTGTCGTTTCTTTGACCAGTGCTGAGAGCTAGAACAAACAAGGTTTTATTGAGCACTTTGCCCCATTCAGAATCATTTGCACACTGACATACTTTACAGCCAACACCTGTACACTCTAACAGGGATTTTATTTATTTATTTATTTTTAAAGATTTTATTTATTAGAGAGAGAAGAGCAGGGGGAGAGGGAGAAACAGGCTCTCCGCAGAGCAGAGAGCCCAACGCAGGACTCGATCCCAGGACCCTGAGATCATGACCTGAGCCGAAGGCAGACACTTAACTGACTGAGCCACCCAGGCGCCCCTCTAACGGGGATTTTAAAGCTCTCTCCCTCCAGTTCGGGGCTGAGATTTTTCCAAAAGACTGTTAGTACTCGCTTGGGGTGACAAACAGGGATGCAGTTGATGTCTGCATACGGAGTGAGCGGGGAGCCGGGCTTCATGCAGTTCTCACGGGGTCGTCAGGTAAACAGTGCTTCTAGACGACATAGCATTGTGAGGGCACTAGCACTTTCTACCTTTTTTTTTTTTTTAAGATTTATTTATTTATTTATTTGACAGAGATAGTGAGAAAGGGAACACAATCAGGGGGAGTGGGAGAGGGAGAAGCAAGCTTCCCGCTGAGCAGGGAGCCCGTTGCGGGACTCGATCCCAGGACCCTGGGATCATGACTGAGCCACCCAGGTGCCCCACTTTCTACTTTTTTTAAAAAATGTACTTATCTATGTATGTATGTAGGCTCTATGCCCAACATGGGGCTCAAACTCACAACCCCGAAATCAGGAGTCGTGTACTCCACCAACTGAGCCAGCCAGGTGCCCCTCTACTCTTTTTTCTTTTTTTAAATCATAGCCATTCTTTAGTTGTATTAATGAGACCTGTTTCAAGTGCAGAATGTCACTTTGTCTTAAGAAAATGCAAATCAAGGAGCGCCTGGGTGGCTCAGTCTATTAAGCGTTTGCCTTTGGCTCAGGTCATGATCTCAGGGTCCTGGGATCCAGCCCTGCATCTGCTCCCTGCTCAGCGTGGCGGGGGCGGGTGGGTGTGCCTGAGTAGCTCAGTTGGTTAAGCATCTGCTTTCAGCTCAGGTCGTGATCCCAGGGTCCTAGGATCAAGCCCTGCATCTGCTCCCTGATCAGCAAGGAGCCTGCTTCTCCCTCTTCCTCTGTCCCTTCCCCCTTTGCTCCCCCACTTGTGCTC